GAATCAGTTCTAGTATAGTTCTTGTGCAATTCATCAAATATTTTATTAATTTCATATTATAATTATAGAAGAAAGATATAATTTTATCATTTATCCACCCGCCGGGTTACCCGGTTCATGATTTTTCAGACGGGTCCAACCACTAAACACACTTTTTCAAATCCTCGGTTTCCATAGGAATAAAATAGATATTATTTCCATTTTTAGATTGAAGACTTTGAATAATTTCATGATTACGAAAGTCTGATAAAAATTTGTTGAAATCCCCATCGGTGCGAATACAAAAGTCTGCTTTACATGCTTTATAAAATGCATCATGTTCCATACCAATATCTTCAGACTTCATGGCTTCACCTTTTCCTTGGCGAGTTTTCTTCTGTTGATGTAAATTAGCTTGAATTTGATGTTTCGCCAGGATTTTAAACATTCGACGTCTGTTCGTATTCCATGTAGATAATACACTTTGAACAACTTTTATATTTAATTCTTGTTTACGTCTTTTCACTTTTGGACCATCTTCAAATGTTGGTTCTACTTCATAATAGCTGAATGTAGTAATATCATGCCAAATCCAATTAAACTTGGTCGCTCGATCTTGATCAAAAAGTAACGTCGCGTTGATATGATCAGTGGATGCAATAAAGTAAATATTGGGACTTGCTGCGAGTATGCTAAGGCAATTTTGTATTTGCAACGTACGAAGACCTTGTCCATCAATGTTATGGATCATAATATATAAATTTTTAACTTTCCGGTCTGGATCGGAAAAATACTCTCTAATTAATTCCGTCAGTTTCTCCAGTGGTTCACGTGACCCTGGTTTCACACCCATATTAATTCCATTAATAACTTGTAAAAAGATTTCTTTAATCTTTAACTTTGAAAGAAATCCATTAATTACAAGGAGTGGTCGATCTTTAAGATAGGCTTCTGAAAACTCTTCAAGTAATTTCTTTTTTGATCCATATCCATAGAATAAAAGGTTAAAGCCGGTCTTTAGTTCAATATGCCATTGTGAATATTGGCTTTTATAAAGTTCTTTTAATGATTCTATTTCAGTCTTGTGTTTAATAGGGATCTTTGTCAATATATTAATGCATTCGGCTTTATCTAAAATTCCAACACCTGCAAGGGTATTATTGGATGTACGCGTCTTCATTTGATGGTCTTCGAAATATCTTTCATAACCTGTTAAATCTTTTTCTAAGATAGACCTCCGCTTACTTAGGTTCGGAGGAGGTACGTCTATCAACACAAAGGGTTTAAATGACATTTTTTTTTTTTTTTTACAAGAATTACAAGAAAAGTTTTGGACGCGAAATAGAATTATCGCTATTTATATAGATGTTAGATGTTCTGACGTGTATGACCGCCGTGTATGACGTATCTAAATTCATGCAATTTGATTGATTCTATTACTTGAAAATCAATCATGCATCCATCCCATGAACATCAAAAAAAGTGCTGGTTTTACTTTATTGATATTCTACCTGATTTCATATTGTTTTAAGAATATTTTTTTCCAAACACAATATCTTCGTCACTTTGTGTGTTTTTTTTTTTTTTTTTCTTTCTTTCTCAACACCATTTATTATATATGTAATATGGAAACATACGATCATCTTATCAAATATAATGATGACGACTCTTCTGTTAGTGTTCCCTTTGGACGTGCTGCGGAGTATTATATATCTAAGCATCCTTTACTGAAAAATATTCGACTAAAGGCTCGCAGTCGTCTAAGAACCCCTCAACTTATAAAAGAAGGAGTTATTACCTTGAAACGAGTTGAAGGTGCTGTTGACTTTGTAGAATGGACTACATCTAACGGAAACATAAAGTCAACCAATCGCATTGACGATGTCATTGAGCTTACTCCGAAAGGAAATGATCTAGTTGAAAAAATTTCTTCCGGAAAGGCCAAAGACAAACTTTGTTGGTCTTGGGTTATGTATTGTGCTGGTGATGGGAATACCTGTCAACATTTGTGTGGAGGGATTGGAAAATGTAATCCAGATTGCCCAAATGTCAATTTACCAAATAATTTAAAAAATAGTAATGACAGGCATCGTTGTCGATTACGTGTTGTCTCAGAATCTCGTCTTTCCTGGATAAATACTCCACATCAATTAAGAATTAAAATTGACGGTTGGCATATTCCTCCTAATGCCCTCGTTGTTCATTCTCCACAAGTTACGCGAGTCAATCTCACAAGGTCAGCACGTGACCAAATCATTATTAGTCGTCGAGCGGATCGTTGGACAGCTGACGATGTAAAGACAAAGATATTGGTATCAAAAAAAGGTGCCACTGAAGCTGATCTTAATCAAGATGTAGTTAAAAACCGCGATATCTGTAATAGTAAACAACTTAAACGATTAATCGTACGAGATGATCGTAGAGTTAAGGACAACTCTGGCCCTTGGACAGTTCTCCAACATTATATTCAAGATGTTTTGAAACCACGTGGTCATGTATTATATTATCAAAATCCTAACCTTTCTGCTGAGGAAAATTCTCCTGACCGTTATTACCAACTCATCGTATCGGATGATTTATGGCTTAGTAATGGTAGAGATTTTGGTCGACACTTTTTCTGCATTGACGGAAATAATGATTTAAATATGGATCGCGCGACAGTTCTTACTATGGTGGTCGAAACAAAATCTGGATATCTTACTCCATTAGCTTTTGGTATACTGACATTTTATAATTTTTTTTATTGATCAATTTTTTTGACAGTTTTTTTTTACGTATTCATAGCCATGTACTTGTGTATCATATAGCTCTAAGTAACGGTGATGATAAGATACCTGTGCGAGCTGCAATTAATGCAATTAAAGCAAACCTTCCATGTAATAATTCGGATTGCAATCATTCTTGGAATTATGAAGATTTACCTAATGATAAAGGATTTCGTCGAGTTCGTGAATGTTCATCTATAAATCCTTGGAATCCCATAGCGATGATCGATCAACATGTACCAATAATGCGTGAGATTGAAAATGATGTCCGTAGTACTATCCTTTCTTGGACACATATAATGCTGAAATTAGCAGAGAAACTTAAAATATGGGATGTACCAAAATTGTTAAGGTATTTTAGGTTTTTAAAAATTGTGTGATTTATATTTACAAAAATTATTTATCTAAAAAATTGATTTTCATCAGATATCCAATCGCAATGGGTTTCAAAATAGTTGGAAGAAGTCGTTCAGAGGAAGAAGCTGATGACTTGATGAAATTATTCAAAAATTTTATAGATGCATTACCGATTAGTACTGAACAAAAGTCTCTTATAAAGAATGAATTGGAGAATAATTGGATGAACGATGATTGGCGTAACAAAATTATTGATTCCGGACGCATATTTGATGATCTCCAAGATGAGAAACCAATGACATCTAATAACTTGACAGAAATAATCAGTCGTAAAGTAGAAGCCCAACTTGATGGAAAAATGACCCCATTGGCATTCCTTGAACGACTTTTTGGTGTAAAACTACGAAGAGATAGTTTACATGCCGATGATTCACCTGTAGAGCAAGCAGACCAATCAAGCCTAGTCGCACTACTTAACGCGCAATCAATAGCGCAGGTAATTAATGATTGTGGCAACTTAAGCTGAATTTGGCTGAAGCCAAAAGTTATGGTCTCTATCTGAATATATAAAAACCCACTTATACTCTTTATTAACCATCATCTAACTCAAACTTCTCAGATTTTAACCAAACCAATTTGTATTTTAATGGGTTTAAATTCCAGCTTCTGCCAATTTCATCTTCAGCTGCTACATAATTATCAATTATATCAATTATATTAATTATATGACAAATTTTAATACTTTATTATTACAATTAATTAAACAAATCGCATCAGCAAGACCAATCGGAACGAGGTTTGCCTGCTGATGTTCAATGTCACCTGAACCTTGGTCGCCTCTATTTTCTTTATTATCTCGTTGAGCCTGCAGAGGAAACAAATTATTATTATGTTAAAAAAATTAACGAAACATCGCTAACTTTCACTTCGCCGTACGATGGTAAACAAATACAACTGGATGCTAATGCTATGGAGAGTTTGAAACCAATGATTAATGGTTTTACTAATCGTCAGGGAGTGGTAGAACGTAAAGGCTATTATATAGTCAATATAAAGACAGGAGAATGTTCTATGTGCTTCGATTTTATCTGGCACGGAAGATTCCGTAGCGTATGCAAACACTGTCATGCAGCACGTATATATGCAGAGGGTCAGCAATCAAGTGATTTCTCCCAAATCATAAAGGAGACAAAACAGAAGTTAGTCGAATATTTCAGATCGAGAGAGGACATTTCTCAACAACAGCGTAATATTGCCATTTTCCAAGGTTCTATAGAAGAAGCCTACTTAGAAATTGTTCGTTTATATAGTATTAGTGGTATTTTATCTCATTTCATAAAGTTTAATTGCAAATTTCAAATTTCATTCTAATTGACTAATTTGTATGGTTCTTTTTGCTAAAAGGTGATAAAATTTTTGATCCACCCGGGTTAAAAGATTATTGTAGGGATCCTTTACGTAATTTCAAATCAAAAAGAAGAAATTCTGTTAAACCTAATGGGCCAGCAAAACCGAATAAACGAGCTCGAACGAAAGAAATAAATATGGATCAACAAGTTGAATTTTCCGACGCGTCTCAACCCTTTTTTTTGAATTATGAAATTAATACATAGTTTGGATTTGGGTTTGTGAATTGGGATTTCTATTTCATTTGGGATAATAACCAAAAGCAAAATATATATCCCATTTTTGGTTAATAGTACTTAAAAACCAATAAATTTTGTTAAATCGCTTCGGTATAGTAAACCATTAAAACTACTCAAAAGCTACCCTAATTATTATGAACTCTTGGCATTGAATTTTAACTAATTAAAATAAAAATTGGGTAGTAGACAAAAAAATAATCACTCTATTGAAAATTTTACTATTAATGCGTTTTTTTTTTTGCGCATATTTTTTCTTGCACACTGTTTCCTCAATTGATTTTAATGTAAGAAGAAAAAAAAATGTATTTTATTAATAAATTATTGTCATAATAAAGATTATCAAGCTTTAATATTTTTTGACAACTATAAATTAAATTATCGATTACTTACTCTTAAAATTTTTTTGCTTCTCAATTTTTGGCATAAGCCTGAGCATAAAACTTTATTCTAACCCTGAACTAACACTAAGGCTAAACTAACTTTACAGCTTGTAAGTGGGTGGGGTATTAAAAAAGCATTATATTACATAAAACCAATTCTGCAATTTTATTGGTTAATTTAATGTATATTGGTTCATATACTGTAGACTTAAAAAATAGAGAAAGGTCATTTAATATTATGTATATTGTTTCCTATGGTGCAAGAAGCCTATACTCAACAGTTAGACAAAGTGTTTCAATTTATAACTTTTAATCTAAGAGGTTTTAAAGAAATCTGACCGGTAACTTTATAGAGTTATATCAGCTCTACATATGTGCCAAATATCTCATTTCAAAAACGCATCAAATCTTTACAGTGATGAGATTTTGAAAATATATTTGGCACATATGTAGAGCTGATATAGCTTTATAAAGTTACCGACCAGATTTTTTTTTAATAGATAAAAAGTTATAACCATTTAAAAAATTGAAACACTTCGAGTATAGGCTTCTTGCACCATATAATTTTTGAGAATTCAATTGGTCTGGCCTCAATTGGTCTGGCCTAAATTTGTCACGTCACCTATACTCATCAAATTTTTATAGATTTCGATCACGTGCCTCGATTATTATTGGTCAAAATTTCATATCACCAAAGAAAAACTTATATTTAGTCCGAAATTTGAGAAACCACATAATTTTAACCTTTAATGTAACAAATGATTAAAAAAGTAAACCGTAAATCTGAAAGAGAATTTTTAGATTTACTATTTTTACGGTATATTTTTAATACCACTTAAATTAAAAGACGAGATATTATTTGAAATTATATAAATTTTTTGATGACTATAAGTGACGTGACCATAGGCCGCAGATTTCTTACTTGAGATCATTCCCTTTTAAAAGGGTTTTGGTTCCCAAGCAGTAATTTTAGGTGCTGTCGTGTTATATGGCCTGTAAATAGGGTTGTGTTACATAAATTACAATTTTACAATACATGTAATTTTACGTAAGTTTCAGTAGGTAAGGTTTCATGTAATTTTCGTCACGTTATAAAATACCAGCTTTACAAAGGTCGGCCAACATTATGCATCATTTGATTTAAATGTATGATCCGAATTGTAACTCCTCAAATCACGAAAGTTTGATCTCAGAAACTACAAATTACATGAAAAATAATCGGAAACTTACACAAAATTATAAAATTACAGTAATTTTACATCCCTACCTGTAAGCTTTTCGAGTTCCTGTAAAATTCTCAGTATGTTGAATAACAAACTTAGGACGTGGTGGTGGATCAATAGTTGGTGGGGTATCAGTAATCTTATGAATCCAACTATGCCTACATAATTCAAAAAAAAATTTTAATTCACCAACTTTGATTAAAAATTTTTCAATAAAAGAGGTATCTACTATTACCATTCTGGAGGGATTTGACTAGCATCTCCGTAATGTTGCACGTAATCAACCCAGCGATCACGACCTAAAGATACCAATTTCGAATATAATTATTTCGTATTCAGTGTTGGGCAAATTAGTGGTTGACCAAAAATTTACTGGTCAAATTGGTCCAATCTATTATATATATAATATATAATAAATTATATTTAAATATACTATTTACCAATTTGACCAGTACAGGTCTTTTGACCAGACTGGTCTGTTCCAACGGTCAAACTGGTCTGGTCAAGCCAACACTGTTCGTATTGTAAAGCAAAACTGATTCATGATTAATTGAGATCACTTTTAACATACCGAATATTTCTTCTTTATTCTCGTAATATTTGTTACCAAACTGATCAACCCCCACAAGCGTACCAGCTTTAGTATCTCCGATGTACAATAATTGTGTAAAATATTCTCTGGGTCCGATTTTCATGAAATTTTTTAATAGTGCGAGTTAAATAAGACATCTTTGGAGATATCTTAAAAACGGTATCATCATCGTATAGCTATTATTAGACTTATTGGATTTATACTGTTTACAGTTTTATCACATGAATTCAATGTGAAATACAAATGCAGTACTATAAACAGGGGTAGGTACGTATGGGCTTATCGTTATATATCCGATACTTCAGAAGCGATGCATTCATTTTCTCTCCCATAAAGATTTTTTTCTTTGAAAATGTTCACCAAAGAGCGGCAGCGATATGCTGCTGGTTTCCTACTCTTACTGTGTGTAGTCGTTATATGGGTCGGCTCTTCGTTCTTAATGAATGTAAGCATTCGTTTTTTACCGCATTCGAATTTTACTCTTCCTTGTAGTTACTTATTGTTCTTTATAGAATATTTTTGCGGGACAAGATTATAATAAGCCATTTGCTATAACGTATATAAATACTGCGTCCTTCTCGCTATACCTTTTGGCATTTTTCCTCTTTACAAAAAAACGTTCTATTGACAAGCAAAGGTACGAATATATATCATTGTAACACACGCGTTTGCTAAGAATCCTCATACAATGCGAGGAATTTCGTTTGTTGTCAGGAAGGATGTTAAAGATTGGCCTTATTATGTGTCATTTTTTGTTTGACATGTTGAATTTCTAGCGAATTTTCTTTCACCTTTTAGAATTATAGATTTCAATCATGCATTATATGATTCTGCCTCACGGTCATCGGCAGAGTCCATAAGTGAACATTCTGCAAAGTCTGATGAAATAACGGTAGGTATAAATAAACCTTTCATTATTTGTCTTTAGATCCTTGTTATATATTTACACATTTTGTATCAGCCTATAGAACAGTGTGCATCCACTGCGCCACAAAGTAGTACAATCATATTATTGTTGAATCAATTTTTATGTGTACACGTCGAATAATTCTATATCATTATACAGAATCGCATTCACATGTTGATCCCCACGATTTACTTTTATCTGCTCATGACGAACAAAAGTTGTCGAAACAAGAGGTATGTCTTATAAATTTTCTCTGCTTTTACCTGATCTTTTAAGTTATTAATTATTTTCTTCATGTTAGGTCGCAAAATTAGGCTTAACTTTTTGTATGCTGTGGTTTGCTGGTAACCATATTATTTATTCATATTTGATTCGAACCAATCTTTTCTTTTTTACTAATATTGTTCTTTCCACTCATTAGCAAATTGGAGCGGTAATGCATCTCTTGCATACACTAATGTAGCGAGTAGTACAATCTT